GGGGTGGTTGGGAGTTGTGTGATGGTGAGTTGGAGGTGGGAGCTGCATGCTGGGAAGCTGGGGGTCGGCTCCAAGATTGGGGGGAGGGGAAGGGAGGGCAGAGTATCTGGGTGCATGGATTCTTGCTTGTGACATTCACCAAATGATTTATCCTCTCGGGGTGTGACTTGCTTGTCCACGAGGCGGAGGCGAGGCTCGTCTGCCGTGCCAGGGTATCCTGATGCCCAGCGCCTGCAGAGCGCTTGGCTGGAAGGAGCATGCTCTCTTAAGCACGTGAAACGCGCTGCTTATCTCAAAACACTTGCGAAGGCGTTCAGGGTCTTTATCTCAGTTTCACTGCTCTGGAAACTGAGGCACAGGTGATGCAGTTTGCCCAGGATCACCCAGTGAAACCAGTAGCTTGAGCAAGAAACTCCTTGGATCCTTCGGAGCTCTGGCTCGGTGCTCTCTGCTAGGCCGCTCCATCTCCTCATCTGTGGTTCTCAACCTTTTTAGACTCCAGCCTTCGAAGGGAATTGGAGGCCTATTCAGAAAATGCCAGTTCTTACTTTTCACTGTTCTTTTAGCCGGTAGAAAAATAACAGAGCCGTCTTTCTGTTGCAAAGAACTCGGGAAGACTGCAGCTATGGATTTCTATGGGAAATGTCTGGGTTTATCTTGTGAATTGTGTTTGTACATGTAACAGCTAATGCTGCGTGGCCTCCTGTGGCACCCTTGGAAGGATCTCAAGGCACCCCAGGGTGTTGTGGCAGCCTGATTGGGAATCACTGCCGTACATCCACAGCTCCCTGTGAGCTACATCTGCATCTTTCTTGTGATGGCAGAACGAAGCTGAGGGACTGTGGCTGCTGGCCTTCACTCTAGACTTAGTACTGCCCCATTAGCTCATCTTCCTTCACCCATTTGAAGATGTGCCATTCCCATCCTCATCCTGCATCCCTTTTGCCCTGTTCCACTTCCAGGGAGCTCTTCCCTTATTGCTTTCTACTTTACCCTCATCTGTTTTTTTGCCATTGATTCTTTTGACGCCCTTTGTTCCCCCTTTTGCTTTATTTGAGCATGTGAATGTGCTTTTTCTACAAAGAGTTTCTTGGCTGGCTGTTAACTGGCAGTAGGTAAAAGCACCAGCTTCCCTCCAATGGACACAAAATAGGGAAACCGCCAAGCACAAGTGAAAATTTCCTGTGGTCCAGGCTTCTCTTTAGTGTTTCTTAAAAACCATACTTCAGCCTTCTGTCTTTGTGGGGAGGGACTTTTTGTTCAAAGTGCAGAAAAGACAGTGGCATAATTGCAAGCCTTGAAAGAGTGCTCTGAGGAGAAATCCTGCTCCAATCAGTCATAAGAGCAGTTTGGCCTTGTCCTTGCTACTGCTTGAACCAATCTAGCTACAGCTGTGTTTTGATTCCTGTCTTTGATTGATGTCTCTGAACATTGTTTCAGCTAATACAAACTCCCGGTCCAATATAAGCATGAAATATTTTATGTAACTGGTACCTGGAATGAGGGTAGGGACTTGCCATGTAGGTAGTTGAGTGGGTGGTTTGTAGCTGCCTGAGGTATGTGTGTAAATTGATTTCCAATATAATTGCAATCCCGAGTGTGGAGAAAGGTCCCTTGGGGCCAGGCTTCCCTCTTTCATCCTGTAGTCTTGCAATAGCCTTTGCTGTGTACCTTTACTGGCGATGAACCTGAGACCAACCTGGCATTGTGGCAGGCTCTCAAAATTTGCATTCCCACTTGACTGATGGGAGTTTTTCTCTGATAGGTAAGTGAAAGGTTGGGTATCGTCTTGGTAAAGGTGAGGGAATAGCTTGGGCAGTGAAATAAACTTTTTTGTTAGTTTTTCAGCAGCTTTCTGAGGGCATGTTTTGTTGGCTTTGCTATAAAGTGAAGCAGTCTTCAGTGGCTGCGGCAGCATCAGTGTGCACAAGGAAATGCAGAGAGGAAAAACAGCCTTGGTCCTATTAAGGATTTATTGTTAGTACAGGACATTGTGAAACAATATTGCAAGAGGCAATACAGATGTATTGTATTTATTGGAAGTGAGTAACCATTATCCATCAAGATGCTAGCAATTCTTGCTTCAGATTCAGCAAAACCAAGATCTGTACAGCGTGGAGAAAGAAAACCCTTTACTTTTAGCTGAAATGGTGTCATAACTGAAGTAATACTAAAAGAAACGGCTGAACTTTGCCTCCTTTGGTTAGAGCTTAACTTTCAATGTAATGGTATTGGACAAAAAATGTTACCAAACCCACACACAGCTGTGCTCTATCCAGGCAAATGCAACTGAACAGGTTGCATGTCTTATTCTGTTCTGACATTGATACCAAGTCTGTATTGTTCTGCCAGCCTAGCTTTGTGCCATCAACAAACTGTCTGCAGTAGGCAGATAAAACGTGAAAGAATGTCTGGCAAAAGATTGCGGCCTGCTTTGAAAATCTTTCTCCCGGGAATAGAGATGGAAAGGGGCTGTCAAGCTGTTGAGGCCCCTGTATTCATAGGCAACTACTTATCAGGAATCCTAACATCTTCACAGTTTCATCGTGCTTAGGGTCGGAAGGGACCTAAACAGATCATCAGGTCTGACCCCCGATTTTGTCTGGCTCCAACCCTTTTCGTATACCACAGCCCCAAGCACCTTCATAACACTAAAACTAAAATCACCCTACAATGCGTCACAGCTAGAAAATAAGAAAGGGGGCTGCCAAAGCCCATTTTATTTCATACTTTCATAGGATCCTTCTGTGAAGACTCATTTGTCTTGAAGCACAGCTGTATAGAGTGGCTTATCATCCCTCCCTGAAGTTAGTTCATTTTACAGGTGGGGAAACTGAGGCACAGAAGTGATGTGATTTGTCCGAATGAACGTGGAGCTGCTGTTGTGCTGGGGCAGAACCTGGCGTTGTGATTCCCAGTCTCTCACTACACCGTGATCTCTCTGTCCCCTTTCACATACCCCTCTCTAATCTTGCATGGTCCATCCCCAGGTCAATTTTAACATGGCCAAGGCCAAGCTGCTTTTCTGTCTTGCTAGCCACTTTCTGCTTCCTTTTTGCCGCCTCCTTTGCAAGCATCTATAAGAATGTGTTTGCATTCCCTCACTTCCCTTCTTATTTCTGTGCTTCATATTTAGTTGTCTTACTTTTCTATCAGCAGCATTTCTACATACATTAGTTACTAGGGAGGTACCAGACCCACTTTTTGTTCAAAATGTGTTCTCCTTTCTCATGCATAACAAAAAGCTGAAAGTTTTTAACAGGTACCTTAATTGGAGCTTTTCTTACATTACTGTGAGTGCTTGCTGGAATGATCTGAAGACCCAGAGGGTTTATGGGGGTGGACTTTGCGAGAATCAAAGACATGAAAGATGGAAAGGGATCATTAATGTTAGCTGGGCTGGAATATTGTTGTTGTTTTTTTTTTTCCTTGCCTACTTCCATCTCAAATCTCTTGGCAAAAAAGATTTTTCTTTTCTATGATTGTACGTGGCTTCTCTTTCAGTTAATGGATCCGAGGCCTCTGGCCACATCAGGAAAAGAAATCTTGATACACCATTTATTTCTAATGTTAGAGGCAAAAAAAACTTTTAACCTTCTCTCTCCCCTTAACGCCCTGACAGACATGCACTCTGTCCCTTGTACTCTCTGCCCTGGGATAAATCAAAAAGACAAATTTGTGTCAATTTGTTTTCTCTTCCCCAGCCCCTGTAAAATGCTTGCTTTCCTTTTTGCAGAGTTGTACTGAGAAGAGCTTCCCATGCTAATGAGTTTACCGCGCAAAGGAACTTAATCTTGTAAAAAAAAAAAATAAATAAAAAATTGAATAGCCCATTTTAAATGAATAAAGTATGGTAGAGAGAGTACTACTTGCTGAATTGTGTTGGAGTGATGTTGTACTGTGATGGTGCAAGAAATGTGAGAGGCAAGGATCTCTATGGGTGATATTCTTTATTGGACTTGAAGAAGAATGTACTACCTATGAAAGCTTGTCTAAGTCTCTCCCAACCACACAGTTGGTCTAATAAATGACATCGCCTTGCCCTTCACATACTTGTTGGATTTTTATTTTGCATGCAAGTGCTGCTGGGAACCTGTTTACAAACAGTGTATCTTGGAAATCCATCTTCCTATCTCCATATCCCAACATGCTGTATCTCTCATTGTAGGTTTGTGGGATCACTGGGTACCATCATCATCAAGTGCAAAGATCTGCGAATTATTCAACTGGATATACCTGGAATGGAGGAATGTTTGAATATTGCTAGCTCTATTGAGGTAAGAAAGTTTAATGTTTAGGGTGCAAACATCTAGAACTCTTGGTTCAGAGATGATCCCTTTTATTAGACTAGCTGAGAAATTACAAAATAATATTTTTTTTCTGCAAGCTTTTGAGCTTACATGCCCTTCATCAGGCTCAGGGAAAGTTAATGATGATAAAAAGTCCCCATGTGTAGGAAATAAACTTCATTGTTGCACAGAGGAAGCAGAAGCTGGAAATCTGTTCCTCTGGGTTCACGAAAGTGTCTTTGGGGGTTGCTCTTTGCTGTGCAGATCAAGCAGGATTCCTTCCCTGTTGCTGTAGTGCTTAATATTCGGAGTATCTTTCAAATATCTGTTCAGAGAGTTGAAAGAGTGGACTAAAAGAGCATGGCCTTACAGCAAAATGCGGGAGATAGATAAAATCTTGGTGTTATAATTTTCTAGGCAGGATCCTGCACCTTTCACATTTTTAAAACACTCTGGATGAGTGAGAAGCCCTGGCATCAGCTGAAACCAATCATGCGGTTTACTCCCCGTGATGTAGTGGGAACTCAGCAGAGCCATGTTGCCACTTAATTGTTTCCACCTGTTTCAGGAGGCAAATGAAAATTGTGAAACGGGCATTTGGTTTGGAGCAATGAAGGGTTGCTTGAGCACCCCCCCCCCTTTTTTTTCTATGTGACTATCAAAATTACTGTATTTACTCTAATACAAGATGACCCTGAAAGTAAGACAACCCCCAATAATTAGATTCTATGCACAGAAAATGTATACATTTTATTGTAATTTTCTGTGTGTGGAATCTTAAGTTTCTTCTTAAATTTGTCCCCCACTGCTACTGCAGGTGATGGGAGAGAGGTGATGAGAGGGGCGGCAATGGGGTGGGTGGTAGGGGGACAGGCAGTGGGAGAGGCAGTGGGTGGCAGTGTGGAGGTGGGGCAGGCAGAGAAGCAGTCAGTTTGTTCCTGCTCCCTGCCCCCCTCCACACATTTACGTCCCCATTGTGCCTGCCCCCTCTTTCCCTGTTCTCACCTCCTCCCCTCTGTTACTTCTGTCACTTGAAGCCTGAGATTGTCCTCCCCACCCCTTTCTTACCTTTCATGCAGGCAGGCTGTGTCCCTGCCGCTGCCTGGGGCACAGAGCATGGCTTTAGCGTGGTACCATACGAGCAGTCCAGAGCTGGCACTATTCTTCCAGCCTGGCCCTGTTGCACCAGTGCTGGCTCCTTGCCACTGCTCCTATGGGACCAGATTGGACCAGCAGTGCCAGCTGCGTGCCACTACTATGGGGAGGGCTGGAGCCATGCTCTGTACCCTGGGATGTAGCAGGAATGGAGCCTGCTGGCAAAAGGTGAAGATGAGGAGGGGGGAGAGAGGGAGAGGCAGCATGGGTGTGGGGGGAGATGGGGGTTGTGGG